TTGCTGCCGTCTCCTTCGCGAAACCTCTGATGAACTTGCGGTAAAAATTGGCGAAACCGACGAATCTCTGGACTTCCTTCCAATTTCGCGGGCTCTTCCAGTCCAACACCGCGCGGACTTTGACGCTGTCCATGGCCAGCCCCTTGTCGGACAGCTTGTAGCCCAGGAAATCCACCTCCGTCACATCGAACTGGCACTTCTCCAACTTGGCGTAGAGCCTGTGTTCCCGTAGTCTCTGCAGGACCTTCTTTACATCTCTCTCGTGAGTTTCCGGCGATTCTGAGAAGATCAGGATGTCGTCGAGGAAACATACACACTTCTTGTAGAGGAGTCCCGCTAGCATGTGATGCATAAAGGCTTGGAAACAGTGAGATCCATTTTGGAGACCAAACGGCATAACTCTGTATTCATACGTGCCCAGAGGCGTGAACATGGCCGTCTTCCACTCATCGCCCTCCCGCATGCGTATGAGATTGTACGCTCCGCGCAGATCCAACTTGGTGAAAATCCTCCCCTTCCGCACGGTAGCTAGGAGGTCGTCAATCTTGGGCATGGGAAAGGCCTTGGGCTTAGTCATCGAGTTTATGGCCCGGTAGTCCACGATGAGTCTCTTCTGGGGCGTGTCCTTTTTCTTCACAAAAAACACAGGACTGCCCCCCACTGCTTTGGATTCCCGGATGAATCCGCGCTTCAAATTGTGCTCTATGAACTCCCTGAGTTCTTGCATCTCATCTTCAGACATGGAATACAACTTTGCAGTTGGCAGCTTCGCCCCCGGCAACAGGTCGATTGCACAGTCGTAAGGCCTGTGGGGTGGCAACTGGTCAGCTTCTTTCTCGCAGAAAACCTCCAAAAATCCCTCGTACTTGCGGGGGACTGCCTGCACCATGCCGAGTTGCAGCTGCTGCCCAGCTTCCTCCTCTTGGCTGGACTGGATCTAATGTTGAGCACAGTACGATGAGCAAAAGGTGATCTGCCGCTGGTACCACGCTACAGCTGGACTGTGTCTCTCTAGCCAACTCATGCCTAATACTATAGGCGTGTCTGACAGGCGGGTGACATTGAAGCTAATGACTTCTCGGTGATCTCCAATCCGCATCACCATGGGAGGTGTCTGTTTGTTGCAAAGGCGCTGGGGACTGCTCTACAGACTCGCCTGGCTGAGCCCCAGCATCGCTGTTTCCAGCCAGGCACTGTCGTTTCCCTGAAACTGCTCTTCGTGTGGCACGTCTGCTGCCACTGTTGCTAACGCTGCAGTGTGCTTCTGGAGCCTCTGGGGACACTCTTTAGCCATGTGCTGTGCACTTTCGCAGATGTAACATTTCCTGTTCCCTCTAGGAGGCTTCGCCTTTACTGCACCGGACGTTGGGGCTCTGGCTGCTGTCGGAGCCCTAGCACCGCCAATCTCCATCGGTTCTTCCCCCTGCCACATCAGAGGCGAGGGATGTGCCTGGCCGAACTCCTTGGAGATAAAAGGTGGTGCCCTCGCTGGCGCACGCACCTGGCGACCTTCCTCACTGTGCCAAGGACGTTCTTCGTGTCGCACTCCAATCGCAAGAGCCCTCTGTACTACTTCTGCTAGGGTTTGAGGTCTGTCACCCCTGGCTAATTCATCTTTTATAAAGCCACTGAGACCCTCCCAGAACAAATCTCTCACTGGTCTGGAGTCCTTCTCCCAGCCCAATACAGTCAGCAATGCAAAAAAGCGCGAATGGTACTGACGCACAGTGGCTTTGCCTTGCCTGAGTCCATGCAACTCTTTGCGCGCAACATCAACATCCACAGTTGACTGGAAGCAAGCGTCCATAGCTTTAATAAATTCATCAGAATCGCGGCGGGCAGGGCCATCTTCGCGCCACAAATTGCGCAGCCACGCTCTAGCGTCTCCATGCAAATGAGATACAATAAATCCCACTTTCTCCTCTTCATCTTTAAAGTCATTGCGAAGCAAATGCAGTGCATATAAGACGTCTGCTCTGAAACTTGGGTAGTGCTTCAGGTTCCCATCGAAGTGGGCAACTAAACTGCCCCCCCCCGCCTTCCAAGTCCAATTCCCTCTGATCTGGATTTTGGGAACCCCTCTATGCATGCACGCTCCCACCTGGTTTGCAGATCTTGGCAGCGCTTTTCCGCTTCGTCACTCTTCTTCTGAGATGCAACGACCGCAGCGGAGAGCTCTGTGACTGCATTCCGCAGTGCTGTCATCTGTTCCTCCGCACTCATGGCTGCCACACTTCGTGAGCTTTGCAAAAAAAATTTTTGCTTTCTTAGAGAGGGGACTTACTGTCAGGGCCACCCAAGGTCCCAGCTCACAAGAGACCAACGCCCAGTCCAGCTTATATACAAAAGCTTTTATTGAAGAACATTGTTAGTTCCACAGCCGAGGCGCGTGGCCCCACGTCTGTTAGGCTTAGACCGCTGAAGTCCCCTCTGAATCAGTCCCGCCTCTACACCAGTTTAAGAGGCTTGTGCTGGACCACCTCTTCCTGTCCTTCCTTTTCCGCAGGGTCTTTCTGCCCCCCTGGGTTCCCTCCCTCCGGGATTCCCCAGAGGCTGAATCCCCTGACGCCTGCTCCCCCCTCCTCCGTGCTTTGGGACCAGGCTCCTCCTCCGGGCTCTCCTCATTTCCGCGCGCCTCCACATTTGAACTTGGTGCGCGTACGCTGCTTCTGACCTTCCTCTTGACAGTTACACTGCTCTCGGTACTACTCTCCGCCCCTTCCGGCAGGACGTCTTGCCCCGATCTCCTTCCCCTCTCTGCTTCCTGCTCTGCTTCGTCTGACACACTGGGAGCTCCACCCCCTTCACTCCGTTCCGGCGGAGAAGCCGGTCCCGATTTCCAACTCCCACTGGGGGTTCCCCTGCTGCTGCCCTGCTCCTGACTACTCCCCCCTGTGGCTCCCCTTGGCCTGACCAGGGGCGCCCCCTTCTGGGAATCCTCCGATTCACTGGAGAGACTCATGGAAACCCTCGAGTCATTGTCATCCTCTTCCTCGTCGCCCTGGGATCCTTCCCCCTTGCTCTCAGTCTCCTCCCTCATCTGCACCTCTCTCCCTGAACCCCTGACAACGTGTTTTGGGGGTGCACTCTCCATGAAAGTCACATGACTTACATGAGAGCAATGTGGATCCTTCAGGGCAGGGAGGAGCCTTCCTCACCTAGAGGGGCTTCCATAAAGTAGTTGATCATGGGTGGTGGAGAATCGTGTGGGGAACATGACAGGAGAAAAATGAAGTCTCATATACAACATTATATGTTCCCCAAAGGAAGCCAGCAGGGAGGAGGAGAAGGCATGCCCTGCTGCCAGTGGCTCTTTAGGTTGTGAAATGCTTCCATAACCATGAAGTACTTTATGGACTATCAGTGCTGGATCCCTGCCAGGCTAACACACCCTGCTCAACTTCCATACTTCTGCCAGTCACCTTGGAGATGGGCAGCTCTGCCAGGGCAGGGCACTCCCTGCTTGCTAGGAGACACTGGCAGCTCAGGAAAAGGGTGGCAGGGAGTGGCAGGTAATGCTGAGTGGAACCTCCCCATGAATCAGTGGCATAGTCGGGGGGCTGTGACTCTGGGCACATTTTTTGAGGGTGCATGACCAGCTGCCCCTGCAACAGGCTCCCTTAGAGCCTGGCACTTGTGCCAACTCCAGAGGGCCCTAGGGGGCTGGGCACCCACAAAATGTTGTTCTGGGTGCCTGGCACCCTCCCATCACTGCCACCCTTCACCGCCATTGTGACATGCTGCCCACTGCTGCCCAGTCTTCATCCCCTTGCTGCCAGCTGCCGCCTTACCTCTGGCACTCTGCCACTGTGGCCCCAGACCAGTTGCCACCAGTTGCAGCACTAAAGAAAAAAAGAAACAGAAGCCTAGCAGAGAGCTGGTATTTGATGGTGCACTAGGTAAAGAGTCATCTAGAAGAGCACGTTAGCTGTCCTCTGTGTTTTTTAAGCTAAAGAGTTATGACAAGTATGGTAATTTAAATACAAGTATGCTCCTTTATAAAATATATCAATTAAGAAACCACAAAACATAGCAGGCTTATGCGGTCTGCATGCATTTCTGCAGTGCAAAAGGACATTTTCCACACCATTACACAGAGTAACATGTTTATTCATTTACATAATTAGATCATTATTACTTTTGTTATATAAAAAATAGACTAGCTGTAGTGAAAATGTAGGTTACAGGTTAAAACAAAAAAAATTCCTTCCAGTAGCACCTTAAAGACCAACTAAGTTAGTTCTTGGTATGAGCTTTCGTGTGCATGCACACTTCTTCAGATACACTGAAACAGAAGTTGCCAGATCCTTCTATATAGTGAGAAGGTGGGGAGGGGTATTACTCAGAGGGGGGTGGGAATGGGTGATTGGCAGATAACTGCAGTCGTTAAGGGTCATCAACAGACTCATCACAGCTATCTGCCAATCACCCATTCCCACCCCCCTCTGAGTAATACCCCTCCCCACCTTCTCACTATATAGAAGGATCTGGCAACTTCTGTTTCAGTGTATCTGAAGAAGTGTGCATGCACACGAAAGCTCATACCAAGAACTAACTTAGTTGGTCTTTAAGGTGCTACTGGAAGGAATTTTTTTTTGTTTTGACTATGGCAGACCAACACGGCTACCCATCTGTAACTAGGTTACAGGTTGTATGCAGTCCCTGGTAGGGTTGCCATATTTTGAAGAGCAAAAAGGAAGACACATTTGCTGACTTCTACTTTTAACTATGGATCGCTATGACGATTCTACCCATGGAAAAGAGGACATGTCCTGGGGAAAAAGGACATATGGTAGCCCTTTGTGACAGTTATGTCAAAAACAGTTTTTATGGTGCTATACAGTATGAGCTGCAACTGACTGCTTCCAAAACTGTTTCTGTCTGTTGTCTAAAGGAACTGCCTGGATATTTCTTTTTTCTAACAGCCAGGACTATATCAATATCTGTTCCTCAACTGACATTAGGAAATCTCCATGTTGTCCGTAATACATCTTTGTAGTCTATGAGAAGATTTTCTGCCCAAGAATTCTCTTCATGGCTTCCTTCACTTCATGGTTCCTCAGAGTGTAGATAATGGGGTTTAGCATGGGTGTGAGGACTGCATAAAATAGAGACAGCATTTTTTTGACTTCTGGGGAATAGTTGGAGTTGGGTCTCAGATAGACAATGCTCCCACTTCCATAGAACAATGTCACCACAATGAGATGAGACGAGCAAGTAGAGAAGGCTTTGTGTCTGCCCTCTGCTGAAGATATTCTGAGGATGGTGGTAATGATGCGTATGTAGGAGATCAGGATAAGTACAAAAGGAAACATGAGGAACAAGAGCGTAGAGGCAAGGGCTTGCATTTCAAATAAGTAAGTATCAGCACAAACTAACTTCAGTACTGGTGGCGCATCACAGAAAAAGTGATTGACCTCTTTGGGTCCACAAAAGGGGAGACTAAAGATCCAAGCTGCCTGCAATAGTGATACGGGAATGCCAATGACCCACACCCCACCCACCAACTTGTGGCAGAAATTCCTGTTCATGACAGTGGCATAGTGCAAGGGGTTACAGATAGCAACATAGCGGTCATAGGACATGGCAGCTAAAATGAAACACTCAGCACATCCAAAATAGAAGAAGCCAGACATTTGAATGGCACAGCCGATGTAAGAAATACTTTTATGTTTCAGCAGAAGGTTGACTAGCATTTTAGGGATTGTGTCTAAAGTGAAGCAGATCTCAATGAAGGACAAGTTCCTCAGGAAGAAGTACATTGGTGATTGAAGAGCTGGGTCTATCATGACAACCACAATGATGAGGACGTTCCCAGTCACTGTCACAATGTACATCATCAAGACTAGGGGAAACAAAAACAGCTCTATATTTGGCATGGTTGAAAAACCAACGAGGATAAATTCCATCACACTTGTTTGGTTTTTCCACTTCATTTCTTCAAGATTATTGGATTGGATTATATACTGAAGGTAAAGCAACAAAC